GGGGGGTAGGTAGATGTCGGATCATTAATTCAATCTTCCATTCCTACATTTCAACTTTAATTCATAGAGATTAATTCTTTTAAATATTTATCCAATGAAAGTTTTGATTAAGAAAAAAGACAAATCAATAATTTAACATGACCTATTGATATTCCACCAGCTATCATAGCATTGTTCTTAGCTGAAGTTTCTTGTCCACAAAACTAAATACAGCCATTTTATTGCATAGTGGCATTTGACTTTTGATGCTATACATCAATTTGGAAGGCTCATTTCCTTTCTTGAATTATATTTTGGTCGCATGTAGGAAATTTCTTATCCATAATGAAGTTGTCCTGATCAAGAGACAATTTTATAGTTTTCTCTCATTTATATTCAGCAATTTCTCACTACAGATAAAATTAGTTTTCATTTGGTTGGTGGGACAAGGGATAATAATCCCGAGATAAAATATGAGATTATTTTATTCAGCGTTTGATTATGGGTATTAGTTAATCCCTGAAACAATTTTGTATTAAATTGGTGGGATTAACTATCTTGTAAAGAAGTGGGATGGCTAAACTACTGGTATATCCTTGTCTATCTAATCATCATGATTCATGGTAACCAAACGACTTGTGTCCATATTTGTCCCTGTCTAGCCATTTTCACTAAAGAATGAAAACAAACGAGGAAAAAAATGCTACAAGGATCTTGACAAAGGAAACTAGCTATTCCGTTACATATAATAATTGAATCAAGAAGAATTATCCATAGATAAATATCTTCAACTATCAGGGGAAATACCATATAATTCTAATGTTGAATCAGGATTAACTAGTAGGATAGAAATAAGTATCAAATTCTTTCTTGGTGTCAAGGTAATAATTATGAAAGGTTGATAGTAGGCTATAACTATATAATTTGGCCACTATTTGCACTCTAAATTGTCTGCACTTCACCGATGTTTGAGTTTTAATTGCTCTGATTGAGTATTTTTATGCTTTGCAGGAGCAACTCCGGGCTACAATGAGGTTAAGGAGTGTTTTGATATAATATGGAGCGTTGAAGGCCAAGTAAAGGCTTATGGAGTAAATTGGGAGTTTGTTCGAGGATCGAAGGAGGTTAGCACATTTAAAAAGAAGAACAAAGACGAGTGCAGAAAATCGCCCAGGTGCGCGGCCGAGCACTGGGGCGCGCAAGTCAGGCAGAAACTGGCCAAAGTGTGCTGCCAGATACGCGGTCACCTGCCCAGTTGCGCGGCCACGCACGTCCTTCCGAGAAAAATTATTCCAGGGCTAAAATTATAATTTCAGAGGCGACTGTCCTAGACCTATATGAAGCCCAGCTTGCCCAAAAAGAGGGTATCTTGGTTTTTAGGAGAATTTTGAAGGCAAGAACAGGCAAGGAGAAAGACGAAAGATTTGGAAACGAGTTTTTATCTTTCTTTCTCCCTTTTTTTTTTATCATTGATGATGAATTCTTATGTTGTGATTGTTAAAACAATTATAAGTAGCTAAACTCTTTATTCTATGGAACCTCTTGGAGGATGAATCTTTGTTGCATTTAATATAATTTTGCCATTGAATTTTTCCTACGTGTTCAGCTACGTGATTATTGTGGTTGATTGAAGGGCCCTCAATCGGCTATACCTATTTAGTACGTATTACTTGGAAAAAGGGTACATATTTAGGTAGTTGTTAAACAACATCACTCCTAACGTATATGAGGGATCAATACGGAGGGTTTAAAGGTGGGATTAGGCATAACAAAACCTTAGTGCGATCGCAGTGAGAAGTAAACGAGTGCTAGCTAGCGTAGTTCGCAAGAATACGTTTAGTAAATTATTGTATTTGCTCGGAAGAGAATTACGATAGCTAAAGTGCTCACGATCGGTAGAGAGTATCTAGGCAAATTTATAGGAGAAGCAACAGAGAGAATTCCGATAAGAGGGAAAATCGCAGCCCTAGACCTTTCCAATCTTGTCTATAACATTCGCTTTGTCCGAAGTAAAAATAAAAATTTAAAGCTTTTTAATTACCTTGTTGTTAGTTAGTTAGTAACACTCAATTCATTATTCAATATTTTTGGAAGTTGATTACGTGAATTCTTGATAAACTAAAAGTTGTGATTAGTACGTTAATTCTCTGTGGGATTCGACTCCGAACTTATAAACCAGATTATATTTGCAACGACCGTTTAATCTTTTTTATAAGGCATAGTTGGGTGTGATAAAATTTTGACGTTGTTGCCGGAAAATTTAACGGTGTTATTAATTACAGCAAAAAGAAGTGCTAGAATTCTTAGTGTAGTCAATTTTCTTCATTTTAAAGTAAATACATTGAAATTCTAACGTTTGTAGTCTTGGGTGTTACAGGTGCATGCCTAGAAACTCCTCAAGAACTGGTGAAATGTTCGAAACATTATCAGATCCTGAGAAAGTTTTCAAGGCATTGAATCGTGCAAACAAGAAAGACAAACAGCAACAGAACTCAACACAACAAATCGAACCAGACATGGAAGATGTAATAGAAAAACCAAACAACAGAAATAGTGCGAATGACCCGAACAACCAGGGTGTGGTGCCTCTTGTGCCAGAAACAGCCTTGTATGATTGGGCACAACCCATCATCGAAAATCTGGCAACCGCAATTGCAGTCCCTCATATATAAGCGCAATCATTTCAAATCACAAACAACATGCTACATTTGTTGCAGAATAAGGGACAGTTATCAGGGTCATACATTGAAGATCCTCAGCAACATGTGAAAAATTCCATGTCGATATGTGTCACGCAAAGGCAACCAAATGTGACACCATAAGCAATAAGGTTGTTGTTGTTTTCATTCTCGGTGACGAAAGAGGCTCAGACTTGGCTCAATTCACTTCCCATAAACTCCATCACTACTTGGGAAGAATTAGTCAAGAAATTTTTGAACAAGTTCTACCCACCTAATAAGACTGCCAAACAAGTTGATGAGATATTGAGCTTCAGGCAGAGACCAACAGAAGCACTACAAGAAATGTGGGAGAGGTTCAAAGGTATGCTGGTTAAGTGTCCTCATCATGGCATTCCAGATCAAATGTTGGGGCAAAGGTTCTACATGGGATTGGCAGACAGCTTGAAGGCCAATATTGATGCTTCATCAGGAGGAGCATTTTTTAGCAAATCATTCAGAGAATGCAAGATCTTACTTGATAAAATGGCTCAAAACTCAGGATGGATGACAAGAGACTCCACGATCACTTCTGTCATTCACTCACTGGCTTTGGACCCAAACAACTCCATAGCCGAGAATATGGCCACTCTGATGATGCAAATGAGCATTCTCACCAAAAAGATTGATGAATCGGGCCAGAAGCAGCAGGTACACAAAGTTGACGTGACTAATGGGGGCTTATGTACACCATGTATTAACCAACCGTATGTATGCTCATGGAGTGCGGAAAGTGATAACCAGAACTATCAGGAAAATATGAAATATGTGGCCTACTATGGAGGACAAAGGCAGGGTGGTCAGAATTAGGGGCAGCAAAATCAGTAATATAGACCAGCACAACAGTAGTATAATAATGGCAACAATCCTGGAGTTATGAGACCACAGGTCAAGTTGTGCCTTACCAAAGGCAACAGGGGTACAATCAGCAAAATCAGCAGCTAGCTTATCAACAGCCTCAACAACAACAGATAGTGAGACAAGAAGACGGGTTGTCCAAAATTAAAGGAATGTTGCAACAACTAATTGGGTCTAATGGAAAAATGCAAGAGAAAGTCGAAGCACATGACTCAGCAATAAAAGGCATTGAGATACAATTAGGGCAGTTATCTATGGCTTTGAATAATTGTCCTCAAGGGACATTGCCCGCAGACACGCATGTCAATCCAAAAGAGCAAGGCCTGAAGCAGCTTATGGCGGTGAGTCTAAGAAATAGTAGAGATCTTGATCTAGAGCAAGAAATTGCTCGCGAAAGCCGACCAGCTGAAACACTTGTGCTAGTACCAATCGAAGTTGATGATTTAACAAGGTTGACAGAGGTGATGGTACAACATACACCAGCTGAATCAAGCAAAGAAAAAGAGGGTGCGAAGGAAACTGAGTTAGTGCAAGAGAAGGCAGTAGAAACAATGCCCGAGCAGGTTCAAACTCAAATCACATAAAAGAAGCGGCCTCCAACACCCTTCCCCTAGAGATTGGTCAAATATCAGAAAGATGAGCAGTATAAGAAATTCATGGAGATGTTGAAGCAAATCCAGGAGAACATTCCATTGATTGACGCCTTGAAGGAGATGCCTGGCTATGCAAAAATGAAAAAGGACTTGATGTCTCGTAAGTTCGACTTTCAAGACTTGGCCATGGTTACACTGACTCAGACATGTAGTGTTGTCGTGACGAGACCCATAGCTGAGAAGCTGTCCGGCCCAGGGAATTTCACAATCCCATGCACAATAGGCAACTATGCTTTTGCTAAAGCACTTTGTGATTTGGGGGCAAGCATAAACGTGATGCCCTTGGCTATCTATAAAAGGTTAGGCATTGGAAGAGCAAGACCCACATCCATGTTACTACAGCTAGACGACCGAACAGTGAAGAGGCCATCAGGTATACTTGATGATGTGCTGGTGCAGGTTGGAAAGTTTATGTTTCCGACAGATTTTGTCATTCTGGACTGCCGGGTTGACAAGGAGATTCTCATAATTTTGGGAAGGCCATTCTTAGCCACTGGGAGAGCTCCAATTGATTGTGAAACTGGGGAGCTAAAGATGAGACTGAACGATAAATAGATAACTTTCAATGTGCAGAAATCTATGTCGCGATCCAGTGAGTTTGCTAACTGCTCTTTGATAGAAGCCTTGGATGTGATTTTGGAGGAGGAAGATGAGACTCTGAACGCAAAAGACCCTCTAGCAGCCTGCCTCGTGAACTTAGAAAAGGTGGATGGTGAGGACTTGGCAAAGTGGGTTTTGGCCCTTGAAGGGCAAGGGCACTGGAAGAGATAGCTCGAATTTGAGCCTTTACACTTAGAAGAAAGAAAAACCCCTCCAACTAAGCCATCAATTGAAGAACCATCACAGTTGGAGCTAAAACCATTACCAGCTCACCTCAGGTATGCCTTCTTAGGACCTAACTCAACTTTACCTGTTATTATCTCATCCAGTTTGTTAGATGTGCAGGCAGAACAGCTTTTGCAGGCGTTAATGGAATGCAAGACTACAATTAGTTAGACCATTGCAGATATTAAGGGTATCAACCCGGTATTTTGTATACATAAGATTCTATTGGAAGATGGGCACAAACCTTCCAGAGAATATCAAAGATGGCTGAACCCCAACATGAAAGAAGTGGTGAAGAAAAAAGTGATCAAGTGGTTAGATGCGGGAATCATGTTCCCCATCTCTGACAGTAACTGGGTCAGCCCAGTTCAGTATGTGACAAAGAAGGGTGGAATGACTGTAGTGCAAAATGAGAACAACGAGTTGATCTCAACAAGAACAGTCACGGGATGGCGAATATGTATGGATTACAGAAGGTTGAATAAGTCCACCCAGAAATACCATTTCCCACTGCCATTCATTAATCAGATGCTAGATAGATTGGCAGGGAGGTCTCACTTTTGCTTTTTGGATGGATACTCGGGGTATAATCATATCTCTATTTCCCTAAAGGATAGAGAGAAAACATTATTCACCTATCCATATGGCATTTATGCCTTTCGGAGAAATGTCATTTGGTTTATGCAATGCACTCACCACATTCCAGAGGTGCATGATGGCCATCTTTACAGATATGATAGAGTAAATAATTGAGGTCTTCATGGATGACTTCTCAGTGGTGGGGAACTCATTCGATGACTTCCTTATGAACTTGAAAAGAGTATTGAAAAGGTGTATGGAGAATACTCTAGTATTAAAGTGGGAAAAGTGCCATGTTATGGTACAGGAAGGTATAGTCTTGGGACACCTAGTGTCAACCAAGGGCATTAAAGTGGATCGCGCAAAGGTTGATGTAATAGAAAAGTTGCCACCACCCACTTCCGTCAAGGCAATAAGAAGTTTCCTTGGCCACGCCGATTTCTACGGGCGGTTTATAAAAGATTTTTCCAAAATTGCTAACCCTTTGTGTAAATTGCTTGAAAAAGATCACCCTTTTGTGTTTTTTGAAGATTGCAGGGTAGCTTTTGAGGAATTGAAGAAGAGGTTGGTGTCAGCACCTATCATAGTTGTACCCGACTGGAGCAACCATTTGAGCTGATGTGTGATGCAAGTGACTATGCGGTGCAAGCAGTCATTGGGCAGTGGAAAGATAAAGTCATGCATCCAACATACTACGCAAGTAGAACTTTGAGTGGTGCCCAACTAAATTACACAGTGACTCAGAAGGAGACGCTAGCAGTAGTGTTCGCATTTGACAAGTTCAGGTCATACCTGATAGGCTCGCAGGTAATTATTTATACTGACCATGTTGCACTCAGGTACCTAATTGAGAAGAAGGAATCAAAGTCGCGCCTAATTTGATGGGTGCTACTGCTGCAAGAATTTAACTTGGAAATCCGTGACCGAAAAGGAACGGAAAACCAAGTGGTTGATCACTTGTCTAGGCCGGAAGGAGTAGAGAAGAAGTTTGAGACAGAATATATTGTGGAGACTTTACCCGATGAACAACTGTTGGCTACGAGCCTGGAGGTAGCACCATGGTATGTAGATATTGCAAACTACCTGGCAAGCGGTATTTTCCCCTATGACCTTTACTCTATCCAAAAGAAAAATTTCTTTCGTGACTGTCGCATGTATTATTGGGATGAGCCTTATCTATTCAGGATTTGTATTGATAACATGATCCGGATATGTATCCCCGAGATAGATCAATCTTCTATTTTGTAGGCTTGTCACGCATCCCCATATGGCAGCCATTTCGGGAGAGTAAGGACAGCTGCGAAAGTGTTGGAGTCGGGCTTTTACTGGCCAACATTGTTCAAAGATGCACACTTCTGGGTGAAGGGTTATGATGAATGCCAACGAATAGGGAATATTTCCCACCGACATGAGATGCCCATGAACCCAATTCAGGAGGTAGAAGTGTTTGATGTATGGGGAATCGAATTCATGGGGCCTTTTGTCAGCTCACATGGAAAAAAGTATATACTCGTAGTTGTGGACCACGTGTCAAAATGGGTAGAGGCTTCAGGGCTCCCTACAAATGATGCAAAGGGGGTCATTGGTTTCTTGAGAAAGAACATCTTCACCCGATTTTGCACTCCAAGGGCAATAATCAGTGATGGAGGCACTCATTTATGCAACCGAGCCTTCTCAAAGTTATTAGAAAAATATGGTGTACGCTATAAGGTTATCACCCCATATCACCCACAAATGAGTGGGCAAGTGGAAGTTTCGAATAGAGAGATAAAAAGTATTTTGACAAAGACCGTGAATGCTACAAGAACGGATTGGGCAAGAAAGTTAGATGATGCACTCTAGGCCTATCGTACCGCTTTCAAAACGTTGATTGACATGTCGCCGTATAAATTGGTATTTGGGAAGGCGTGTCACTTACCAGTGGAGTTAGAGCATAGAGCCTGGTGGGCATTGAGGCAGTTGAATCTCGACATATAAGAGGCAGTTACAAGTAGAGTCATTGAGTTGCACGAGCTTGATGAGTTTCACTACCATGCTTTTGAAAGTGCAAGACTATATAAGGAGAGAGTGAAGAGGATGCATGACAAAAATCTTCTTGAGCAGAACTTTAAACCTAGAGATATGGTATTGTTGTACAATTCAAGAATGAGGTTGTTTCCGGGCAAGTTAAAGTCAAGATGGTCACGACTATTTAGTGTGGTAGAGATGCATTCAACTGGAGCCGTCAAGATTACATCGGAAGATGGATCCCGCAAGTTCAAAGTTAATGGGCAAAGGCTAAAACATTATCAGGGCATGGTTGAGGAAGATAAAATGATCTCGACCTTGTACTTGAAAGATCTTTGATAAGGGATAACCCGAGTCGTGCCGTGATGTTAAATCATGTGCTTCTTGGGACGCAACCCAATATTAGAAAGAATATATATATATATATATATATATGTGTGTGTGTGTGTGTGTGTGTGTGTGTCAAACGTGAGCGGTCGCGCACTAACTGCACATATGGCCGAGCATTTTTATACCCTTACTGCCACACGTGCACGGCCACGCACCGACCGTGCACTGGGCGACATTTTGTAGGGTTTTGAATTAGTTATTTTTTCTTTCTTTTCTTTTATTCTTTATTTGTATTTCCTTTAAAAATACCCCCCCCCCCCNATTCTCCTCTTCTTATCTAAACCATAACCCCCTCTAAACATAATAAAACAAACGCACAAACCCTTACCCCTTCCCCCAATTTCAAAATCAAACCCTACCCCCTTCCCTTCATCTCTCCTCTTCCATAACTTCCCAACCCAAAATCCTCACAAGTTCCCTCAGGTAAGTGCCATTGTTTTTGTTTCCGTCTTAGTTTAGTTTAATTTCTTTGTTTTTCTTTTCTTGTATTGTAGTAGATTTCTTTATTTTTTTTAGTATACTTGTTTGTATGTTGTGGTAATAGTGAAATTTCACCATTTTGGGTTAGATTCAACTTTGGTATATTTGTGGTTGAATTGGGTATAAAAATTGGTGTTTGGGAGTTCGGGTAAACTTGCGCATCAGGTGTTTGTATAAATGCCACAATGAGTTCGAGAATGGAATTTTGTGACCAATTGTGCTGGTGAAGTCTGACTAACCACTCTTGGTTCACACATCGTACCTTTCGCTGATAGTGGTATTTGTTTCAGGTAGTATGATGCCATCCAAGAAATGAAGAACCACAGGTGCATCCTCCAGTGGTCAGGCAAGCTCCTCCCGGCCGCCGGCCTCGACCAATGCACCCCAGTATGATAGTACCAAGTTCGTATCAAGCACGGCCCAGGAACGTTTTGGTCATAAGGCTCCCAAGAAACCCATATCGGAGAGGGAAATTGATATGGGTTCCCTCAAAATGATTGTCCCAATATGTATCATGAATTGGTTCGGTGCGGGCTGGGTATATTCTTTGAAGAACCTGATGAAGCGAATTTAATGATTGTGTGGGAGTTTTACGCGAACTGCCCGGAATATGTGAACGATGTCTGCACGGTACCACAGAAGAGTGTGGAAGCATCCATCGAGGCCATTAGGAGGGCTTACCGGTTGCTAGTGTTTGGGATAAATCCTGAAGCAGGGAACTATTATAGCACTTATAGCAGAGAACCAACCTCGTGGAATTTGTTCTTTAGAACAATATGTGTACCCAATAAGGAAGAAGTGTGGATTAAGCAGGGGTGGAAGTTTCATTCGACATCACTTACCTTTGAAGGGAAGTGCTGGATCTATGTCATCAATAGCTGCCTGCTGCCTTCTTCTAATACCACTGAGGTGAATGGTCCCCGGGCTGCATTGATCTGGTGTTTTATCAATGGCCATGATTTTGATATGGCTAAGGTTATTCACGACGAAATGTTCATTCACTCTACGGTGCAAAGCTATGGGCTCTTTTTTCCTTCATTAATCACTAGATTATGCCGTGCGTCACATGTACCGGAAAACAAGAACTTGGATGGGAGAGTAAAAAAAAGAACAGAAGTTCCGAGCTGCTAAAATGGTAATTGGGAAGGATCTTGTTGCACCCGTTGAGGCAAATAGAGATGACTCTGATCCTCCAAATAAGGGTAATGAAAGTCAAGCTGAGGTTGTGGCTGCTTCGCCCGCGCACGACCAGGTTCTTGAGGGAACATCAGTTGTCAGATGGGACATGAGAATGACAGCCTTAGAGTAGGAAATGGCAAGGTTGGGTATATCTGTCACGGACTTGGGAGCTAGAGTGGATGCCCTTGCTACCCAAAATGCAAAATTTGAGAGGAGGGTCATGGCATGGCTCCGTGCACTTGGCAGGGCTTGCCATCTTGACCCAGGCACTGTCTCCGACCAGGAGTGACTCTATCAGGGAATTTTCCTTT